CGGTTTTCGCCTTGTATATCGTTTACGCACAAATCTATGTTAAGTGACTGGGAGAGATCAAAGAGCATCAAGAATCAGCAAATGACTTAGGTACTTTACTAGGTTAACGAACAGAATATTGCAACGGTTAAGCAAAGCATCAACTGTATACCAAGATTTCTTACGATTAGAATAGGAGATGAAATATCTATGTATGCGATAAATGCGCTATTTGCCAGCCGTTTGTGTGAACGGAATCGGTCTGCACCGAAAGCTATCCAAATACACCATCAACGTGCGGCACTTCAGCCAGCAGGCGCAGCCGCAGGATGGAAAGAGCTACAGTTACAAGTTGGAAATTTGGCGCTTGCGACCCAGCTACTCATTTGTTGACTAACTTGAATTGCCCAGTGTTAGCGTTGTCTGCTTCCGTTGCTGTGGGTGCGCTCAGGCCGTCTTTTATGAAGTTTTGTTCGCTAGCATCCCGTCAATGGCAGTAATGAGACGATACACCTATCATATCAAAGCAACTTCAGTGAATTTCATTTTATTAGCTTTTCCACTATTGTTTTAATCTCTTCGGCCACATGCATTAACTTTTCTTCGCTGCCAGCGTTTGCTAACCTAAATATGTACTTATGCGGGAAACCGTCACATGCAGCTTCACATGCAGCGTGCTATTTCATTGCACGCGGCACGTAAGAGCCGCATATGCGAATTTTTCAGGTCGTTATCACCGCATGCGTTTGTCGATGTAGAATAGTCATTTTTCTTGTTGTCGAGTTGCTCCTGTTGGGTAAGAGGATACCACTGAGGCTGCACGAGCTTTAAGAGCCCGCTTTTGTCCGCACAGCTGTCTGGTTCAACGTCCTGTGCTTTTCACAAAGCCAAGGTTTAGGAGGGTGTATTGAGGTCAGAACCGGTATCCGCAAATCCGTAATCGGATTGTGGCTGCCGTCAGCGGGCATTAAACTTCGCCGCATCACTCAAGTCTGCTTCAAACGTTCTGTTGCCTGTTTCATCGGAGACATCACGTTCTCCGGATCCCCCACCTTTTTCTCCCTAGTCCTTCGTCAATATCCTCGCGCCGCTTCCGCTTCTTCTTTTCTCTATCTTTTTTCTCGATCTCCTCGACGCTTACGTTTTCTACCTCGCCTTGGGTTCCCCTACGTGAGAAAGAACGACGCCAATAGCTGAGAAGGTAGAAAGGGAAGCAGCTAGCTGGGACTCTTTTCGCATGTGTTCGTGGAGGCGCAAAACTCAAGTTCCGATTGCGGCTTGTCCGACAACAGTTCCTTCTCAATCCGCCGTCTTTGGAAAAAGAGAAAGAGCCGAACGCAGTCGAGCAGGGAAACAGGCTTCGTCCTTTTCTCAATGCTTCTTTAAGTCGTCACCTAACCGTGTGCTGGGCCTAGCCCCCAACTATATCTACCCGCATCGTTCCCATTCGTTTTTCTGTTGCCAGGGGCCGACTAATGCAGAAGTGTACCGTACCGCCCTGTTCCTCACACCAGATCGTGTAGAGGTCGCTTACTATCTGAGAGCTTTCGTCGCTGCCGGCACTATGGCAACCCAGGATAGGTCTGGATTGTTCTTTTTCATGGACGGAACCTACCTGGTGTTCTCTTACCAGGATATGCCTTGGTTTCTGCTTAACCATGCCTAGATGTCGCTGCTCGCCCTTCTCCCCAGTCTCTCGATATCGTTGCGATGTGTTTTCGAAATCACTCTAACGACCCTTCTGTCTTGGACCAGTAGTGGAAAGTGGCGGAATCCTCAAGGGGAAAAAGCTTCCCTCGAAACACAATCGCTGACTTCCCAATTGGTGTGCGAAGGGCAGAAATTTTTAACTGAAAGCTTTTCAGGCCGTATATCCATGTCACTACAGATGCTTTAGAAGACCTTATGTTCTCTTTCGTCGGATGAGCATTCAACCCTAGCATCATTGCTGATCGCGAACGTGGGTTGGGTGTGAATGAAGCCCACGCTGGCGTCTAAATTTCGCCGCTGGTTGCCCTGTTTCTCTTAGAGGCGTGCTAGCCGGGCGTCAAACAATATGCTGGCGTTTGGTCATCGTACGATTTAGATCAACAGTTACACAAGCCATAACGGGCTAAATTCCGACAAAGACGGAATAGTGAAAAGACAATGATGGAATTGAAACTCAGCTTATAATCGAGGAGACACGGGTCATGAGCGACGCGGATAGATTATCGGCATGCAAATCGAACTACGGTAGTGTGTTTATCCCAAATTTATGCATATATATATATATATATATATATATATATATATTGTTTTTTCTAGTCTTTCAAAAAAGACTTATCTTTAATAAATTCGGGAGTTTTTATAAATGTTTTTGGTATAGTATAAATAAAGTAATCGAGATCAACCAGTTTATCCATAAAATCAGTAAAAATAATAGATGGAGGCAGTAACTTTTGTGAGTCCACAAGGCCAGCTGAAAGGGTTTGTTAGTTAACTAGTCGAAAACTTTATGGCCAGCCTTTCGCATACCGGATGCATTTATAATTGACGAACGCACAAAAAATTAGGCAACCATGTTTCCGAATCGATTTCGTACAGTCAACGTACTTACTTTGTGTTGCCTGCAGTAGCTCAATAGAATGATCTCGAGTCAGACGTTATTCTTACTCCCAGCAGGATGCCTGCCGTACATTTCTAAGCCGCGAGGTCTCAGTACGTTTGTAGCGATGGTCGCCAACATTTTTTCATCTATACATGGGCTCCCAAATAGCTGTAGGAGCTTTCATACGGCTAGTGAAGTGCGTTCGACGTTTGTCACCATTCTCTGTAGAAACACATCCATGCTCCCTAAGTAGAGATCGTTAAAATAATCCCTTTAATGCGCAAGAGGGGATACTTAAGGTCCGGTGCATTGCTGGTATTTCTTAAGGACCAACTTGTGTAATAAGGGTCAGCTTTGGAGCTGAGCTGTGGGCCAAAATAAATGCGCACTTATATATACAGAACGGGGCGTCTTAACTGAGAATTTTTTTCATGTCCCTTTTGTAAAACTGCGTCTAAACAAAGCTGACACTTTGGGAATTTTTTTTTCCATGTGAAACAAAGGTATCGTCTTTGACGGCTGTACCTATTTAACGTAAGCATATTTCAAAGTGATTACACCTTCGATCCAGGTGTTAAACTGTTAACTAATCATTTTCATTGCATTCTGTTCTTCATCCGTGAGTAACTTTTTAATGGCAACTCTGGTAGACGAAAATTCCTTGGAGGGTTTGCCACGTGCAAAAAATGCCAACGGAATCACATTTGGGCTCATAGCAAGCCAAAAACCCAAAGGTCAAAAAATTCAAAAGCTGCAAACCGTCTTACGATTGAGCCTTACCTAGGTGACCAAATTAAGAATTTTCTTTATTTACTTTAAAACAACTATTGATTTTTATCCTTCAACCCCGGACGTACCAAGGACGGCTTTCTGAGTCACTTTTGAGGAGTCTAAATTGTATTGAGAGTCGTTCGGTTTTTCTCAGGAAATTCTTCTACGAATTTTAAATTCTGTATAAAAATGCCGTCGATCTGTTTCGGGCAAGAAAGGAATTTTTAGTTTATATGGAGTTCGCCTAGCACGGAAGGATTGGACAGCCAGTAATCGTCTGCCAAGTGGAACTAGCCTTTCTTTTAGCCATGATAAGTTTGTTAACTTATTTTAGACGGAACTAGCTTTCTACTAAGATTAGGGGTAGCGAATGAACGCATGCCTACTACAACAAACGGCTCGCCACCCCGTGTACGCACATTGTTGCGACAGCTGTCGTGGGGTCGGCCTGAGCTGTTCGTACTGCAACACGCCCCTGTCAAGCCGTACTAGCAAAGGCCTGCTATATCGAGACATTATCAGCGCTATCTTCTTCGAATTTGAAGCACTCGCTAAAATAGGGTTTTCGATTGTGAAACATTTATATCTGACGACACATGTTAGACGTAGTGTACTCATGAAGTTGAAATATGGGAACGTTTCAATTAAAGATGGCCGATAAAGGGAGGAACGTTCACTTGTTGTGCATGACCATAATCCCATTAATGACAAAGCACCGTGGCAGAAGTTTTCCATACAATTAAGCCCATCCTTTGCCCAAGTCGAGGTGCTGTAGTAGTTGTGAAAGTGTGAAGTAGGTTCCGCAGAGCATGGATAACTATTGGTTTGTGTACGTAAGTAATAGTAGCACAATGAAGATCTAAGATCTTTAGAAATTTGCAGATAATAACAATGTCAATCATTGCCATACTTAATCATGGTTGCTAAACATTTTTTAGTGTTGCATTTCTTCATAATTATTGTAACGTATTAAGCTAAGTTAATATCTAACATAACAAACTACTCTTAAAAGACACTGGCTGCCACTTAGCAGTTTAACTTCAAGTGAAACCCGAATTAGTTTAGCTTAATGTTTATCTAATTGAAATGAAAATCACTCGTTTCTTTTTATTTATATTTACTTAAAGTTAAACGTTAAAGAATTGATTTTGGAGCCATACACATATTTGTCTTTTCTTCTATTTACCGATATAGAAGAGTGGCTTTGGCTGACAAAATTGTTAGAAACTATCATCATAACTATTGATAACATTGCCTTTCACTGAATCAGAGGTCACAACGAAGCCATTCATTGGGACAGGTATCGATTAATACTCACGCAGTCTTGCACAGTGACGCAATATCCATTGTGGAAAACAATTTCCCGAGCTATATAAGGAACTTGTAACGGTTTCTTCTATGGACAAACTTCGGTTCCGTTACTCTAAAATAATTGTACATTTCAGCTGAAGAAGCATCAATCCTAAGATACTCACAAACAATAGATGTTCATGGGGCATTGTATGTAGCTTTCCCAGCGCTGCTACCCTTCTAACAAAGTTCCGTTATAATTTTCTGTGTTGTTTTTTTTTCTGTTTCCGGTCCGATCGCTGCCTCGTCTTCTGCTCCTAATCCTCTTGCGATTATGTAACGACGTTGCGCCGGGATGATAACGGCACAGAATCACTAGGTGGTCCTCACGAGAAGCGGCTACTCAACGACCTACTGGCCAACTATAACGTCCTTGAGAGACCGGTTGCCAATGAATCCGAACCCCTTTTACTCAGCTTCGGTCTTACGTTACAACAGATTATCGACGTGGTGCGTTTTTTCCAGAACATCATGCCTAGCGTCACATTTTTGATCCTTAAGTTTTACATATAGATCTTTTTCTTACCCCTAACTAATGTAGTTGATAGTCGATTAGCGAGGAAAGTACAGAAAGACAGAGAATTGAACACTCCCAAATTAAATCGCAATTGACGACAAAGTATGGCAAAGAAAGAATTTTACAAAGAAGAAAAAAATATCTCTATATCTAATATGTAATCAGATTAAAAGCAACGGTGTAGCATGTCGTATTGGCAACACAGTAACGCCGTTCGCGTTGAGGATTTTTTTAGAAAAACAAGGGCTTTTGACGGCAGGAGGTTCCTTTGAAACCACGTGCGAGGTGTTAATCTTTGTAAAGTACCGATGAGGGTTGTTGTACCGGCCCTGTCTCGCCAGTCGACTTTCAACAAACATGCACGGAGCACTAAGAATGTATGTACTTCTATTGTATAAATACTATAGCTACAGCTAAATCCTTTATTAAAAAATAGAGCTTACATAATCAAAATCTGATGCGAAACTGTATTTGCAAATGTAGTTCTTACAGGAAACTAGAACCTACCACCTGAAAAAATAACGAAGATTTCAAAAAAAAAAAAACACAAAAAGGTACCTATTTTTCAGTCCCAGTAGACGGTGGAGCTCAACATTACCATTGTTGTTGCTATGCTTAGTGCTGGCAATATTTCTGGTATGAATGATGCAATCCAAATGTTTCTCGACCAAATGTCGTCCTAATTAGATCTTTCATCCAGACAGAGGAAGAAGAAAAGGAAACCCTGTAGCGTTTTCGACGAGCCACTATTGCAATAAACATAAGAACAACAACAAACAGTAAAAACACGATAGCCACGTTAAAGCTTTCCTGTGGAACTTAGAAAACGTAAAGCTAGTTAGCATTAGATAGATAGCTTGGCTCATCCCAAAATGGTGTTAAAAACAGTGTCCTTTCGATATATTATATACTAGATAAGGTCTAGAAATAGGTATCGTCTAGGTAATCGACAGTTATGTTGAGCTCTCTTGTATCGTTTACGTTAAAATTGAAGTCAATTTCTTTTTCTGGTCGTATAGGCATCAAGTTAAATGCGTCCTGTTATCTATAGCGTATTAATTGTTTTGTGTGCACATCTAGTCGTCGGTTTTTGATACTACCAACATTATACCAAATATACGTATGTACAAAACGTAACAATGAGCATTAAAGAATCAAGAGACGTACCCAGAATACTAGTCCTCGATTGATAGCCCCCATAGCGTTCAATGCCTTCCTCGGTGATGGACTATGGGCTATATTATAGAATGCTTACGATTCACTCGTATTTTGTGACGCTGTTTGAAGCTTTTCTATCGCATAGATCCGTTTTGCTATCTTCATTACTCGTCTGGCCTTAGATCTAGGCAATTGCAGATGCCACGAAATGTACAAAGTGCCAATTTATCAGCCAAAGCTCGCGCAACATAAACGACAAATCTTGACAAGAATTATTGCTGATTAATTAAAAATATTGAATTGATATTCTAGAATTTCTACTGGCATTAACAGGTTTGAAACGTTTTAATTATTAAATGGCATACACCAATGAAGTAAAAATGATTTGCGCTTCTGTTGATGGACTAATCGTATTCGTTGAACAAAGTTACGACGGCAGAGGCCATGACGTGATGCCGATGAAGCACAAGTAGGGTGAAAACCACCATAGACGTACATGGGGCTTCTTAAAAATAATGCTGGGCATAATTTTTTACAGTGAACAAAGATTTTTATAGATGTTTAAAAAATACGTGCCGTCAAACGAGCTAAAAATGATGCGCGATCATATGGGTGCTTTTATTTTCTTTTAGTTATGCCCCACATTGATGAAGTAAGATGATAAAGAATGCCTGAATATTAAAGCAAAAGGAATATTAACCGAGTTATTTCATTAGCACGAAGACGATACCTAATTGTTCGGGAAAGAACAATTTTCGCTTACAGTAACGAACCTGTATGTATGAGCCTGTGTACATGCATATCAGGCCAAGCACTCGAATAAAAAATTCGCACTAATGGATGCACTGCTTAGGCACGAAGGCTCAGAGAAATATCCTATTGCCGTCGGACGTAAAATAATACAAGCAAATAAACACGGTCGGGTTCCACTTCGTGTAAACAGTACCAAACCCGAGGTGAGTTTGGCGGCTGATTTGATTAACCCCTCTCGATCTACAAGCCTTCCTGGCCTTTATTTCAGGTTGAGAAACAAGTGTTATAGCAGAAACGTTTGCAGGACCTAACGTTCACCATGTATTTGACAAAACGTCCAGATACACCTTCTGGTATGATTAACCCGCTTTGTATTCTATTTACTCTCAATATAGTGTTAGAGGGAGCTTATCTAAGTTCAAGTTCGAGTATTCCGCCGTTTTCCGCTCATCTCATCATGGCCTGTCTATGAACAAAAAAGTGTTTTTCTAGTTAATTCTTATTAGAACCATTCTAAAAGTTACCTGAAAGCTGTGCGGAGCTTTCCTGATATCGCTGCCCAAAGAACCATCAGTAAAACATTTTTCAATCGTCAATAATGCTTGGTGGCGCAAACCATCGGCGACTTCGCTTGTTTAGCGTATATTGATTATTGTTTCACTTCTGCTTCCTTCCGCGTGAGCCGTTTCGCGAGGCGTTGCGATCTCGACGGTTATTGTTCCTACAAAAAAAATAGCTTTTAACAGCTCTCACGCCAGCACCACCCATGGAAAAAGTTTCTTTTTACCATTGTTAAAAAAAGTCATCATTAGCGCGCCATTTCCGAAATCTATGTTGCTGTAATTGGTGAAGTGCTTAGATTAAGTTAATAATCTACTTCGTAGGCCTATGTCTAGCGTGCTATCTACGGGCCAGCTGTCATAGCCATTCCTATTTAGACAGTAATCACTGCTGAGCCTTCAAGGTTCAGGTAAAAGCCGTTCTATAGAGATCGAAGTAGTATTTGAAGCTACAGAATCCAAGCAAAGATCTCCTTTAACTAGAGCCTCTGCTGATGCCATAGACTGCAAAAACGAAGACCGCATATGATATCACGGTATTCTACGCTTATATCTGGCAATCGTTTTCGTTAGGGGCTCGGTCTGATAGCAGCAGGATGTTCAGTTTTGATAGTTTAATGCAGTTCCCATACTCCTTGCGGCAGGCATGATCAGGCAGAGTGCCGTTAATTGTAACGGGAAGGACGACAACGTTTCGAGACATTTTGAAACGGAACGATCAAACGGTATTCGCAGACGGCTTTTTATTCTAAAATCATGTTTAACACATGATTATGTTACAACAGTCGGCGACAGCATATGGATGCAAGGGTGAAAGCTGTTCGATCATTTGCTAATAGAAGTGCTTTCACGTGTGAGCCTCTCGAAGGTTCAGGCCAATTTTTGAGCTCGACAATGTTTAGCTAGAAGGAAAAAAAAACAGCACCACGTATTAATTAGAAATCGATATACCGCAGCTGCGATCAGAAACAATGGAACAACTTGCTGGGATATTAAAGCAGCAAAATGTTATTCCGTTAAAGTATCGGGCGTGGCATTACATTCTTGGTTGGTGTTTACTTTATTGAACTTGAGCATAATTTCATTTAAGAGAACTTAAGAACTTCATCACAGTCCCATAAGCGAGAAAGGTCCAGGAAATCATTATTAGTTGCTACCGTAGAATGTGTTTAACCCCCCTCAAAGAGAGCAGAAGCTTTCGATTTATCGGTATTGAAATGCGCTATGACTCATTAGCTGTTTGTCAAATAATTCTGACGAGCGAAAAGTGTGGTCAGCTGATTACTAGCCTAGCGTAGTAAGTGATTTGAAGGGGAAGCGTAATTTAAGCTTACAGAAGGAAAAAAGAACAACAAACAGTATCACTTGTAGAGTAAAAATACGTTACTTTAACCAAGTGCATATCTTCTTTACAAACACCTACGATATGTGTGGTTGGCTCAGAACAGCTGGGTAATTTGATGATGAAGCCTATCAATTGCTCAGCCTGCACGAGCCTTTGTACCAGCTTACAAGGTTATCTGCTAGACAAGCAGACTCTTCTGATAAGTACAGCAATCTCCTTGTCTTCACCTTTCTAGCAGTCGAGCGACTCGTCATCGCCTGCTTCCCTTGGCACGCCGCTAAGACGTTAGATCCATCATGGGGCTACATCACGCGGATATCTCGATAATGCCCGTCTGCGCTGAAGCTGTTGTTACCGTTGGATGCATACCATATTTCCTGGCGATTCGCGGTCCTTGCTTAGATCTACACCCTAATGGATCCGCCATGTACCCACGTGGTAGATCCACCAGTCTCCTTATACCTATGTATATGTGTGTGTGTGTGTCTGTATAGGCGTACAAGGGTACAGGACATAAGAATGAAACGGCACAGGGAGTTGGCGGCATTCCGTCAAAGAGGTGAAGGTATTAAAATTAAGCCATCAACAGGAGAACGCGGATCGCCTACTTTAGTCGGTAATTTGGTCAGAGACCCACTTGCAGGTGCCGTTCGTGGTTGATTGCCGCTTGCGATCATGCTTGGCGTAACGTGGTTGAGGAAGACACGAAAAGGAAGGGGAAGGCCAACGAACGAACTGTGTCGTTAGCGATATTAGGTTAGGTTTGAGACGTGCGAACTGGGTGAGAGATAACTGCAGTACATGGCGCCAGTTAAAGGTTTCACTGTATACTAGTACATATAACAGCGAGAAATGAATGAAACATAATGTCAAGATACATAAAAAAAAAACTCTAGAATAAAAGCCACAGATGCTTTGACTTAAGCATGATGACGCATTATATGCACTTCGAGGCCGCGCCCTGTATACTAGTGATTTGTTTATCTATCTATCTAAGTATCTAGACGTTTATGTGGGTATAACTACTTAGTCTGTCTCGCAGTTGATACAAAGCTACCAATTATGAAAGAGTTTCGCAACAGACGTACAGTGAAAAGTCTATGGAGGTAAGATAGCTATATATAGGCTTAGATATAATTAATAATCGTGCTCAGATATAATTAGCATATTGAAGCACCGACGGATATAAATACAAATGTCAATATTAAATCCCTGACGTACAGGCCATGGCAATGCATAACCTCAATGTAAGATCTAACAAACAAGAAAACTTATGAAGTAACGGGTGAGCTCGAACAAAATGATTGATGACGCTACAGGTCTCCCATTTATAGAAATCGATGACTCATGTTTCGTTATAATCTCAGCAAGATAATCTCACTTTTCGCTTTTTTAGTGCGGTTGTGTAACTGGATAAATCATCACGTAATTTAGTTACGCTTACCCATAACGAGCGGAATTACTATACAGTATACTTACTGTGGACACCTGGAATAATATAAAAGATGACGACTTTTTCTTTATTTATCCGCATTACATATGTGTTATATCTGAAACCATTTTGAGAAGACGCCTGTCAATAAACACTATAAATAAATATATAAAAAACATTAAGTAAACGTGCAACCCACCATTTCACTAAAGGAACGGTAATGCCACCAATTAGTTACAACTTTATTTTTCACTGTCTAATCAAAGGGCCAATAGACCGTGGGGCTTTGTTTAGAAGCGTAGCCTATACGTAGACATAAGTCATCATGAAGCTTGCTCGCTGTAGCTGCTACTGCTGCTGCTGCTTCATCAGTACCACAGGTACAAAACATGAACCTGTTGATACCCTATGACACTATTGCACCTTTTGCTAGACGTAAGTTTTCGAGCCTTCGTCCTTTGTTCGTCCTGTTTTTCACCTTTGTTAATGTCGAAGTGGTGGTAGTAACAAAAGGCGCAAAGCTAGTCTTGCTCTGTGACGAAATCCATGATTGGAATATGACAGTTAAATGGCAATAAAACGCCTCGCGACAACGCGGCGCGGCAGCTTCAGAATTAAACCAAATGACGGGCGTGTGCCGCCTGTGTACTAATAATTGTACCAGGTGTAGTAGTAGTACGGGAAGCAAGCAAAGGGTGACAAAGAACCAGTAGCGTACCGTACATCGTCATCGTCAGCGCCTCGTGAAAGGCTCTATCCACACTTTGGATCTTTCTTGGTTTTAGGGAAGTTTTTGGAATTTAGATGAGTCAAACTGAATTGTCCGTCTGTCGGCAGAGCCTGTTGGCAGGCCACCTGCCTTGTTATATGTCCCAAAAAGGTTCGAAATAGTCGACCTGCTCGTAACGGGACTGGCCGAATTCGCTTAACAATATTGAGTAGCCGCTACCTTGTCTTTATAAAAAACCTGCGAAAGAGAACGAACGAATGGATCCTCTATTACGATGTAGACGATGGTATGCCGAAGAACTAGGTCAATGCTTACTTGTGACCACCCGTTGAGGTAGGAGTCATCGTTCCGATGAAGCGTCGAAGGCAAGCGGCATAGTACTGTATACGTTCACAATTTATTCGCTGCGCTATGGGCACTGCGCGTTGTGTCATCTGTAGTGGGCACTATCTGGGTCAGGTCGGTCTATATGATGTTTATATTGCTTTGTATACATCTTAACATGATCTATCGCTAATCATATCGAAGTTCGGGTTGTTAGGGCCATTTTTGATGTGAAAGCCCATCGATTTTCCTATCCTGCTGATGTTGATGATCTACAAGTTAACAAACTTATAGAACTTAAAAATCTTAGCTAACCTGTAGAGATGTGAGCTGCAGCGTACCTCTACGACTCGCTCCCACAAAAGTGCACACTAGCGTCTTATTAACACTACGACGGGCAGTGGGTACATGCACTTGCAAAGATAACTATTTCTTCTCTAAGTTACGCTCACGTTTTTCGTGAACTTGTTATGGAGCTTTTAAAAATTTACTGCCATGATTTCAATAGAAATCGGTGGTAGGGTGGCTTTATATGTGGGTTATCTTCGTAAATTTAGAACAATGTTCCCTTCGTCCAAGTAATCTGGTATTTTCCTAGTGCTTAGCGGCTCATTTGTCAGATTTCAAACAGTGCCTCGTCCGCCTCCCTGTTCGCCAGCATTTCCTTCATGGTTCATCTTTGCGGAGTTAAGATGCTTGCTGACCCCACTTGACCCACATATCCACGGCCCCATTTGAGGATGAGAAGGTAACCTACTTCAGCCGGGGCCGGCCTACATCATGTCGGGCTTTATAACATAAGGCTGTCTTTGTTTAACGCGCACTACATGCAAGGTTTGTTGACGGTAATGATGACGGCACTGCTATTGCTTCTGCCTGTTCCGGAAGTGGAAAGACAGAGACAGTCTAGATTTCTATCATGACCAAGCTTAGACCGATGGGTTTTAGACATTTGGCATCTGTAGTTTAAAGGCGTACGACACAGGTTAACACTTCTCATGCAGAGCATCAAAAGTGTAGCCAAGCAGAAACAAAAAGATAAGTTAACATATATTGTTCTATAATAACTGTGTGTTCGACTTGGGTCAGTATCTCACATAGCCTCATACGGCTATTTTATGATGTTTTATGCTATACAGGCAAATTATTAGCATTTTTCTTTTACTTGTGTGACAGTTTTTTTTTTGTTTCCGGGCGGCTTCACGCTTTCAGCTAACGATGCAATGAGAATCGTGGCTTTAGTTACATGCGGAATGTACGTATCATGTAATTTTAGAAATTTCATCTCTCTTTATATATAACTGTTGTCAAGTTTAGCGTAATCGCTCTTTCTTGAATAGAAGAATAATGGTGGAGATGCTCGCCGCGGTTTTTCTCGAAACAAAAACCCGTGATCTAAATGCTGTCGGCAGGTCGGCGAGGTTACCATTTTTCGGGAAGCTCGTGCATCTCCCCACTATGTGCGGTAACTGTAGAGCCATTCGTTCAATGGCAAATACCACACTATAGTTAGACTAATTCACAACGGCAGACTGTTGCTTGTGGTCAGTGCTTTTAGTTGAGTCGTGGTGTATTCCCAACGTCAAAAAATAGTAGCAGACGGCAAGAAGGTAGTGATCGGATTCTAATGTCTCTTGGCATCACATGTAAAAACGTGTAACGGTCAGTGTCATGCATTGTGTCCCGTTAGAACGTTTCTGTCATTAAGGAACAGTTCGCCTCGTTGATGTAGTGTAATCAAAGGTTTATTTTGCATAAAGCCTCCGATACCTTCTGAGGTTAAATCCGTTTAGGAGAGATCAACAATTTTGCAACAGAACTTCGCCTTACTTATATGGTTGTCGGGTCATGTCTTTCTTTTATAACCGAGAAAGTAAGCGTGCTTATATAGTAAGTACAGATTGCAGAGATTTTTCGGCGAGCCTAAACAAACGTAATTGTTATCAACAATCATTCAGTACGATATATATGTAGTATACAGTATATGTGTGTGGCGAATCGATATTTATTTACTGTATGTTACGCGCGCCCAGATTGATGGTAAAAAAAACGTTTTTTGTTACCAAAAAGTTCAAAGGCTCCGAGTCGCCAGCAGGAGATGAAGAAGTGCTGTTTTCGAACTAAATTCCTGTTCGTGGCAGAATCACGGCACAAACCCCTGCACCTTTTCGTTTTCTCTATCTTTAGTTTCATTTGCCAGACGCTCTACCGGTAGAGCTAGCATACCTATTATTCTTATCTTGGTAATCAAGTTTTCATATAGGCAAAAGCCTAGGTGTAGGTGTAAGCATATATTATATATACATCTCTGCAAGTGCGTAAAAACCCAGTCACCTTTCCTCGAATCTGTTTTAGAAGTCGCAGTAGATCATACACAGCACAAGACACTCGGAAGGCCTGTCAGTATATTGAATGCGTAGGTAAATATCAGGCAGATCTTAGTTTTATAATTCGTACTACCGAGACGATTCTTTAAACGAAGAAACCGAAGATAACTGCCGCCAAGTTCAAATAAACAAAATATATGGTCGTATCTCTGCGTCTGGATGCGAAGTGTAGACAGCTTATAAGCGTTACCTGTAGATAGTAATTCTTTGATTCGACTCAATAAACAGTAACATTCGCAGCCCCTCGGACGAAGCTATTGCCACCATAAATGCACGGAAGCAAAGAGTGCTATTATTATTACCTAGATTTACTTTAATAATCGGTGTACAAATGAATTTTTTTCATATTTATTGCCGCTGGACTCGTCTTCACTGAAGTAATATGCCGACTTCTGCATTGCGTGACCGCTCACTACTAACGCTTTAAATTAACGCTGTTTGTGTAGCAAGACGTGTGATAATACAGATCTGAAGATACAACGCAAGGCCAACTTGATCATTAACTAGTCTCTATTTTGCCTATTAGCGTTAGACATCGGCTGAAATCCGGTGTCGAAGTCTTCCATTTCACACTGGTCCGTTATCTACTATAGGGCCTAATCAGGTGAACACAATCCAGTTGGTATTATCTTCAGGGTACCTTCTAATGCTGCAAAAATCCACATCGGTTATGATAAGGCGTGGTAGGCTTCTGTACATTTGCTGTTATTGTTTGAAAAATGGAAAATGTAAAAAATTAATTATTGTGAGTACACGTCGCACATGCTCAAGTATAATGGATAAAAAAAAATGGGTTCTTTTGGCAATAAATGCAAAAAACATTCTGTCTCAAAACTCAAAGAAAAATATCTTTACGTAATATTTTACTGGAAAAAAAAGACATATTTTTATATTTATATCAGTATCTCTCATGTGGCGATACTGCAAGCAATATATAAAAAACACGGGTTCAAGCATCCCGGTGGCGCTCGTGACTCTGCAATACGTAAATGTGCAGCTGACGTTAATACGTACGATGCCACATTTGAAATGCTGTACATCTTGAGCTTTTCCTGTCTACTGTCTACCCAAAAAGTTCCACTGAATATTCTGCAGCTTTTTATGCTTCAGCTGCTAATATTTCTACCAACATCCTATCACGCTTCTGTCACAGATACTATTAGCATCAAACGAAGCGTTTACGCTGAGAACGGATGCTGGTCTTCGTCTGTATCGTACCCAACATACACGAGTCTCAAAAGTTGCCATAGATTGTGTAGAAGTTTGTTAGAGGCAAGGCTCGTTTCTTTAGCGAGGTTGTTTAATGGTTTCTACATAGCAGCAATAGCAGCAAGCCAGCCAAACTGGTAACCAGGTCCAGCCTCTAATGAAGTGGGATTCTTCTCTTTGATGAGGCAAACTTGTCTGCTTCGCCTCAGTCGAGTACGCTGTCACTCTGGTTGTCCAGGCTCTCGGGAGTCATCCATCGCCGTCTTCGCCTTGTCCTGGTTCTTTCCGGATGACGGCTAGGGTCTGCTCAGTCTTCGCCGGTATCAAATCAGTGCTTTGAAAGCAATGCCAATTTCGCTCTCCTATCTTTTGAAACTCAGTGGCTTTCAGCTCAGCAACGGGTCTCAAACCTGAGAGGATGAGAGATAATGGATGTATCATATTTAGAAGATTTAACGTTAGAACGTAGGCAACAGAGTGGTTACTACGCCACAATTCACGGCTCTTAAACAGTCCAGTCTGATTCAGTTTCATTGGGCACTGCTGGTATGGCTGAACTTTCAGTTGAGAAACCATCACTAATCAAACGAATCAGTATCAGAATAGCTTTCGGTAACTGCATTGTCAATATGTTAGCGAATATTATTTATATGTTATAGTTATTTATAAGGCTTTCGTTGAGCCAGTTGTTAGCTAACTTTTTAGTTAACATTCACCAGAAGAGCTTTTGAAAAGTTGTTCCCAACGACCACGATAGCTGGCTTCAGAATATACTTGCATCAGAGATATCGATTGACGGTTACATGATAGCAAAAAAAATCATCCCCCGGCTGTCTTGGATTGCATACTACCGCCGAAACAGAATTTGTCATGTAGAACTACCACGATTTAAACACCGCAGCCTTGCTACTATTTCCACTTGAAACAGCATCAATTTCGTATTTCTTACTTTGGCTGCTCTTGGCTTTCTTTCGTTGCTTTAGGTGTCTTTGTTTACCATGATGGCTAAATGCACTCGCAAAGAATAAAAAATTGCTTGCCCTACCTCGGGTTGGAAAACAACAGGGGCGAGGACTTAGGCAGCCCGCATCTAGTAATAGCTCCGCAGAAAACATAGTGCCGAAGAGAAGGCATGAGTTCAAACACAACTTCGGTATATCGTTAGAAGCAATATCCGTTGGCGTCGAAAACGATGCTTGAGTGGGTCAGCTATTACTGCTGCTGCTGTGGGAGGACTGAAAAACCAAAAGAGAGGCACATTTGGCAAATCTACGGAGAGTCGGCAAAGGCAAGTAGACCGTCACGCCTTGCTATTGGCAAACAAAGTCAGGAGACTTTGAGACGGGCTGTATATAGCAGACTATGGTTCGACTGAAGTCAAGTGCCCGAGCTAGTATGCTACCTGATCTAGCTCGTAAATATTTCAAAACAGCAGCGAAGGGTTCGCGGGCCGAGAGTAGCGCCGGAGAGCGAATCGCGCGGAGGGGGGGGGGGGGGGGGGGTAAAGGCGCATACTGCGACGGTGCGTTAAAGCGCGGCTTTGCCAGGCCCTATTCCTAAGCTCTTTTCTTTTGAGGATATCCGCCAAGGGGAATCTCGGCCAGGCGGAACGAACCCAGAGAAGACACAGAAGAGATTTAGAATAGTTTGGATTTGCAAAGGAGGTAGGATGAGAGCGGTGGCAGGCGGTCGGATAGTGCAGTTTGGGGGGAACGCAGTTGCAGCTATGCCTCTACTGCTGCTACTTTGAAAGTTACAAAGCTCACTCAGCGACCACATTACGATCAAGCTTTGGTACCTACTAGTTCGTCGGCTAACGACGAAAAACACACCAAACGCGTGGGAGAACTAGATTGATTTGGGGGACAGCGACAGCTGCCATCCGACACGAGCTGAAGCCTGCTTCCGTCTGCAAACGGACAGATAAAGAGGGCTTGAATCTTGTTAAGCTACATGAATGCCTTATTCGAGCGGCCTCATCAACTCCGGTCAAGCTGCCGAGCTAGAACCCTGTAGGCGACTTTGAGCTAAGTTCTAAAATAGGTTAGTTCGCTGCGCCATGGTATATATGGGCAGTTGTATAGAAGAAATACAGAATTTGGTGTGAATATACATTGTACATGCAAAACAACGAGGAAATAGAAGCGAAAACTGCTGGCCATTTTTAAAAAGTTCCTACAATTCTAGTTAAAAGTAGCTTATGTTATAGTACATCATAATAATGGGAAGTGAGTACCAGATCAATAAAAGGCTATTTCACTTATTTCAATTTTGCTGCAGTAGGCAACACTTGATAGATATAATTTATGAGTAATATATGATTAGCTAGTTTAGCCCTAATTAATGTGGTTATTTCCTTGACGACAAACGCTGCACTTTGAACTACAACAGCATATGATCCGTAATAATAGTCTGTGTCCTAGGCATAAATAGGCGAATTTTCGATCGCGCGTTACGGGACACGGTGTGACGCAGGGTGTCCCTTCGAGTCGTGTGAACTAGATTGTAGTAACGAATAGAAATTGCAGTCCCGCCTGATCCAGCACATTGGTCATGAAGAGATCGAAAAGCCGAATAGAACGCCGTCAAACAATGCTGTATGGTCAATCACTCCGTCCGCAGAGATTGTCGGAATATATCGACATTGTAGAAGTTCAGGAAAACATCAGTCTAACCAGCCATGGCAAACAGGCAGTTTCTTCCTTATCGAGGAAAACCAAATAGCCAGGGACTACTGCGTCTCTGTTAGCAAGCTATGGCAAACAATCCTACGTGTCGTCGTGGGCTTTGGCCCACACCTACCTGAGAGTCGAATAGAATTTCGCTGTTCCGTATTGTTGTCGTTGTTGTCCTGAGTTGGCCGAGCGACCTGATTACTAGTGCGTCCCTGTAAACGTTTAGGCTTAGGGGTGTGTCACATAGGCGACTAAGCTGAAGTACTGACTGGCCAGTAACGAGTCGTTGTCTATTCTTCGCATAAAACTGTACGTAAACGCCCACCGTGTTACATAGGACTAATACGACAGTGTATGTTCCCCAGATGCCGCGCAATCGTGATAAACAGCTAGCAGCTAACTACCGATCAGAAATGGACCTGCCAGTACCGCTAAGAGCTGGACACTGAGCAACTGACTGACCTATACGGTCGAAAGCACATCGCGTCGAAGCGTAGCGTCTCGTACGGCAGACAACCTCTACTAGAACTATGCTGGACCTCTTCCTCCATAACAATGAGCATAATAAACCGTTAGTCTATACACGATTGCTATAGCCTTCAGGGCCAACTACCAGCAGTTGCTTTGCTATACGTTAGTCAGTTTATGTGCACTGTTTCGTCCAAATGAAGTGTGGAGAATTCGGTTGCTTGTTATGATGATGGTGCTAGAGAGGTATGAAGTAAGCGAAGCGGCTCACTATTACTACTCTTATTGTTATTCGCGTAGATTTTCCTGTACAGCATCAAAGTGGAATCTCAAAAGTAAACAATGTGGAAAAAAATGTCTACGGAATCTATCATTGATATGTGTTGTCGAGAAGAATCGGAGAGAATCACTTTAGGATCTGCCATTCAACGTATTGCATCGCGCTTACGATTCAGATACTTTACGAAGCGCTTTGAGCACTGCTAGTTTGTCTTTGGCTTCAGGGATTATTTTCATGTCTCTCCTTCAGTTCTACTGATGAATTCATTAATCACCGTCTCTTAGTGTACTGCAACTTGAACGCTTCCGAAAAGCTACCCAAACGGCTTGATAATGCCCTTTTACACTGATAAGCGCCTGCTCCATTCCTTGAAACAAATCAGGTCTAATGATGAAGATTATATTGAATGCCTCCTGCTTCTAGACATATCGTGGACGAGAGGCTCGATTAGTGTGACCCATAGGAGCGCGTAGTAGATCTCGCTCGGGCCAGCTGGCTGGTCACAGGGTAAAGGTACCACGAGAGGTTCGAGGTGTGTTTAATACACCATGTATACCCATATACGAATATTATAGCCGATTAAATGGCTGTGTTTTGCTGGCCGCAGTTTCCAATCGCATCTAGTTCTCGAATACAAGCAAGAACCGGTAATGAGGGGGAGACCAAGCAAACCATTCGCGGTTGGTTGATTCTGTATCTCACTGTTCACTTCTGATTGACCTCTCCTTGCCAGTGGCGGACGTGCAACAGTGATCCCGTGACGTCGACGGCTGTCCAGCCAATGGTAAGCGAATGCAGCGTGCGTGACGGCCGTGAGAGATACCAGTCGATAGTAAAATTACGCAGATGCCATTGGTGCCGAGAACTCCTACCGATCGGACCTCGCGACAATCCAACACCCAACAACGAGCGAAAACCTAGTCAAAACTAAGCGTTGCCTCAGGACCTTCCGCAATGTACGGCGGCCCCGAGAGTGACCATATTAGCTATGGCAAACCGGCCAGCGGTATTCGGCCGATAACAGGCCAACAAGCGCGTTCGGCCTGGAAAAATAACAGGCCCCGTTCCAAAGATCTTGAAGGAACGCTCGGCAGCGGATATGACGAGATTGTCGATGATCGCAGCGAGGTGTTCGCCGAGCCGCCCAAAGGATGCTTCAAAACCATCCGCTCGCTATGGGCAACACGCCAAATGGTCGCAGACACATCGGACAAGGACTGGCTCGTAAAGACCACCTTACGTGAACTCTTCATCTACATTTGTTTCTTGTGCATTTTGTGCATTCTGACGTTTGGTATGATGAGTCCGACAATGTACTATCAGACCAAAGTTCTCAATGATCTGTTCCTTGATTCGAGTTTTAAAGACAACTCTGGCAGTCTGAGAGGCTCGACAAACCTCGACAACTTTTGGCAGTTCGTTGATGACGTGTTGATTAACTCGTTGTACTGGGACACCTGGTATAACAATCAGTCATTGGTAAGGGATGACAAAAACATTCTCTATGAAAATCGCATGCTTGGATCGCCTCGTTTCCGCCAGCTACGTGTGCGTAACAATTCGTGCAATGTCCACAGCAACTTTAAGAAAGTCATCTCGCAGTGCTATGACAATTATTCACCATTCTTCGAAGACACTGAACCGTACGGCCTTATGAACGGCTCGGCCTGGACCTACCACAAGGAGAAGGAGTTAGATGGTTACGATCACTGGGGCCTGCTCTACCGATACAGCGGTGCCGGTTACTACTCAGACATCGGCACGACAAAAGAGCAGGCCCTAGCGTCCATTCTGGAGTTAAAGGACAACCTTTGGATTAACCGGGGCACCAGGGTTGTGTTTATCGACTTCACCGTCTACAACGCTAATGTGAATTTGTTTTGTGTCGTCAAGCTTGTATTCGAGTTTCCAGCTACCGGAGGCATGGTCCCGTCATGGAGTTTCCGCACAGTAAAACTTCTACGATATGTCTCCACCGGGGATTACATGATCCTCGGTTGTGAGTTCTTATTCCTGCTCTACATCTTTTATTACGTCATCGAAGAGTTTTTGGAGATCAAGGCTAATCGCACGGCCTACTTTAAGTCAATCTGGAACATCCTCGACATTTTAGTAATCATAATTTCAGGTGTGTGTATCGTTTTCTCTATATACCGCACGATAATGGTGAATTCGTTACTTGTCGACCTGCTCAAAAAACCAGACGAATATGCCGACTTCGGTAAACTGGGTTTCTACCAATTCCAGTTTAACAACGCAGTCGCAATGGCAGTATTCTTCGCTTGGATCAAGATTTTCAAGTACATCTCTTTCAACAAAACCATGACACAGCTCTCGTCGACGCTGTCACGCTGTTCAAAGGACGTCGCCGGCTTCTCGGTAATGTTCTTCATCGTTTTCTTCGCGTTTGCCCAGCTCGGTTATTTATTGTTCGGCACCCAGATCAAGGGGTTCAGCAACTTTATCAACGCCGTATTCACCCTTCTGCGATTGATTCTCGGCGACTTCGATTTTGAGGAGCTCGAACAGGCCAACCGTGTGCTCGGACCAATCTATTTCCTCTCGTATGTGTTCTTTGTGTTCTTTGTTCTTTTAAACATGTTTTTAGCAATCATCAACGATACATATGCCGAAGTAAAAGTAGAAATCGCTCAGCAGAAAAATGAGTTCGAAATTGTCGACTACTTCAAAAAGGGATATAACAACTTCCTTACGAAAATAGGTAAACGGGATCAGATCGTCGACATTCAGAACGCGATGCGTATGGCCGATACCGACAATGATAATAAATTGACCTTTGAAGAAGTACGAAAGAGCCTTCGCGGCCAGAACTACAGCGATACCGAAATCGAAATGCTGTTCGCCAAATACGATATCGATGGAAACCGAGAGCTCAACGAGCAAGAGGTCAAAGCGATGATGGCACATCTCGAAGGCCAGAAGAACCTACTTGACCAGGAGATTGAAAATGAGCAGAAAAGTATCATACCAGATGCTTCGTCAGGTGGTGGAGGCTTGGATGGCGCAAGCCTCGAAGAGATCACCGTTTTGGTGAAACGCGTCGACCGCATGGAGCACTCGATCGCACAGATCGTCAACAAGATCGACGCGGTCCTGCGCGGCATGGAGGAGATGGAAAACAAGAAAAAACGCCGTAGAGACGGCATGTCCAAGATCCTTGACACAATCTCCGAGGCGGACATCGACGAAAAGGAGAAGCGACTTCGCATGGAGAAACTCGTAAAAGAAGAACTACTTCGAACCGATTCGGAGTCATCTCTTAAGGATCCCACGAACAATCTTTAGAATAGTAAATGATGATGACAAACCGGAACATGTGGTTTGAATAGTCCGACATTCTATATAAATCCTATTATAAACATAGACGCCCTTGAAAGGCCCATTATAAGCAGTCAATAGGACGACCTATCACTTATCACAAGGGATTCACATGATAAAGACAAGTGATTACGCTATACATGGTAAGAACCTTTGATGTCCGTCGCATGTTCAGACGCCTATTCCATATGACTACACTATTAATGTTTCATGATAATGTTACAATAAACGGATCAGTACTGATCTCAAGGTCAATGACTCAAGCCAACAAGCCAACCAAGTAGAATAAATCGATTTTTTTTTTTGTTAAAATCGACACTGCTATCGAATGCATGTTTTATTAATATCGTTACTATTATATCATACATACATACTTCTATATAGACATACATACATATATATATATAGAGAGAGAGAAAAAAAATAGAGATGACGTTTACATAGTACCCACGTTATCATAATGATTACAAATAATTCTTACCAAAATCATATACTCCTGATGGTGACAGTGATGATCAATGCTTAAGTACTGTATAAACTACGGAGTGAGCCGGCGTAAAACGCCAAGAAGTTATAACTTAATGGTCGTGCTGTTTAAGTAATATTATTCTCCTTCGCCAGTAACATTGATACAATATGCTTGAATCAATGAATATATATATATATATATAAATATAGGAAAACACAATATATGAATATTCTATACTATTCAACTATACTATATGAATATTCTATAGTTTATATAAATATATTTACTAACTATATCGTTTGATTGATACTATGAATCGTAAAACCACACAACGCATAATAGACAGATAGACAAGTTGTCCAATAGAACTTCCATCCAAACTTCCAAAGCAAGGCAGGCGTTCTACAGCATGTAACAGTAATTAACTAACCTATTATCGTACAATATATATATAGCAAACGCAAACATCTATACACAACAGTTCAAGCAATATACTATCGTATTTAGAAAACGAGCATTATTCCGATAGGGAAACAAAATAACCTAAAGCGATCGTAGTGCTGAGATGATGAATTATGTCTACAGATGGGGTCTTTGCCATAGTCGACCTAACATCATTCCATGATATCTAGCGAATAATGAAAACAATGCTGGAAAGCAAATATCATACACCTATACGTGCATCGATCTATTAAATAAAAGAGAGTCCTATTTTCTGAACGGCGGCTAACCTCGTACAGCGATACCTAGAGTGGATTTTGCCGCCCGAGATACTGGCAAGCAACGGTCCCGTGATGTACGGGTAACATGATTCATCACTGTGTCAGACAATAAACTGTGCCATTGAAATGGCGCAAGTAATGCGCAAAGCACGAGACGCAACACCAATTGTATTCTAACTTAACTTGGTGAATTTTCTTTGTTTCCAAAGGGGTTCTTTACACGGTTGCCGCCTCGTGAGGGGCTTGTTGTTTCAGGGCGGACAAACCACGTACTTTTGTGTATAGCCCGGTTTCGGTAAACACAAGATTGACTATGCCAGATTCAAATTGAGCATAACTAACTTCACTTCTAGCGACTTTGAAAGAAGATTTAGAGGAGAGATCGACGGCTGCGTCAGAGGTCGGAACGTTTCGGAAGTGGAATTCAAACGATTTTGGCTTGTATCGCTACTTTTCGTGACTTCCGGATTTCTTTCAGCACCTTCCAAAGCATTAAAATAGGTTTAGACGACGCTTCGTGCCATGGCGGAGACTGACCAATCTGCACCGCACAACGGCGTAGGCGATGCTAGTTTAATAGTAACAACAATCATAACAGCCTTAGGCTACACGATGATGTCGTGATGGCCGCTAGCGGCACTAACCAAATATCATTCCACATGGCAAAATTCAATTGTGCGTGATGGCTGTGCCGTGGTTGGCGCCATAATGTTACCTCCCGGAACCCCGACACTACCGGGCCATTGTTATATATATAATACACACATTGCTATGTGACACACAAGTACAAGCCTTGGTGAACGGTACATTTTCCTTACACTCTAACCCGTCATCCAGGATGCAATGGTAGTTGATGATGTATAGGGCATTTTTTTGACTAGAATTAGACTACAAGAGCAGCATGCGACGACGGGCCGATGATGAGGCGTGCCAATGCTTCTCCAAATGACACCACCGTTTCTACTTTGGCTGACTGGAACAAGAGTCACTTATGATCAAGCTATATTTCCTAGCCTTAGCCTAGTTACTCTATGTCGTCCTAGGGCTTGAACTCCAGGAGGTATCTGCCGTTGCCGTCAGCAGTGACGGCTTCTACTGATGTGAAGTGGCCTTTTCAAGCAGAACGTTTTTCTCTTACTCATCGTGATCGTTCAGTTTTAGCAACGGTGCTGTACAGCAGTTTCTTGCGTTTCGTCGCAGACCGTTCACCTCCTCACTCCAATACATTTTCGTTTCTTTCTCTGCATCCTTACAATAAGTCATTCGTCCATTTCGGCAGGCCGAACGGGTTCAAGTGTTTCTCTCAAAGACGCGTGGGCGGCCGCGTCAACAGCATGGGCAATTCCGAGCTGGGTACAAGCTACAGCTCTCTGAGTAGTCAAATAGAAACCCTGTCTAGTATGGGTGCCATGGGGTTTTTGTGAGTCCTGGCAGAGTGCGGTGCCGCCGACGTTTTCTCCCACTACGATGCAGTTGCCCCCAGGCGGACCGACCTGATGAGAGCTTCCACGCAGTAGAAGGACAAATTGTTTGATGCAGGAAAGCACGGGAACTACTACTTCGCATAGTTGCTTCCAGAGGACTACAAACAGCGAGCGTATAATTGCTACGTAGTTCCGGCGGCGAGAGTGAATGCAAATACAAGCAAGGAGGGCGACGGATTCGCTTTGTTCGCTGTTAACGTGACTGTCAAGAATCGAACACCCGCCAGGCGGTGAAATCAAGAGACAGCTCGGATGAAGCCTAAGCCGTAGTGTCGGCAGCAGTAGTAGTTGCCCCGCGGAAGCTAGGGCAGCCATTGCAAGTTTCGTTGAACGCCACGGCTTGACGAACAAACGGCAGCCATCTTCTGACCAGACCCTTCAAGCGCGCTCAGCTATTGCTGCCAATACAATCGGCTCAGCAATGAGAATCCCGAACGGTTAAACAACCGATAGCACCTCGAGACGCCTAGGTTAGTTTTACATGGCTCTGAGAACGCAGGTCATAATGGCTAGTCGGCCCTCGCGAGCTTGTGTAGTATGATTGAACAACACGGTGTGATACGAGCTATTGAAAGAACATAGAGGCTAGCGACGATAGCACTGGCGCCAACAACCACAGCGCAGAAAACGAGGCGAGGATATATTGTTAAATGCACCTTCGTTACTTGCGCTGCCGAGTACCACACCGACCTCTTTCCGGGTAGCCATAAGCAAACTTCTAGGGTCAAGTCCCCTAATGTTTTCTCTTCCTCTCTCACATGTTTTCTTACTGATGATGGGCCCACTCTAAAGGCGAACAGGCACAGTAGGGACAATTACGGTGTTAAATATATTCTTCATGGAGAAGCTACATCTAAGAGGGCAGTTAGGTGCTAGATGCACAAACGAGCACATTTTGGAAAAAGGAGCAAAAGCTGGAGTTATATTATAATTTACATGTCACCATGAACAAATCTACATATGTATTCAGTTCGGTAGTTGCAACGTAAATAACCGGATTGAGGGAAGTTTTTTTTTGAAAAACATTGCCCTCTCGTATATTTAGCATTGATGATCGTATATATAGGATAATATGTTAAACATATCTATGAAGCTCAAATGAGCACGTTACGTGTAATCACGGTACGTACCGGGCGCAGTTTCTTTCACACAACACCGGTTCTTCGATTACCAGCGACGATAGGAGGCAACATCAAAGTCTGAAAGGAAGCCATTTGTTAACAGATGTGCTCTAGTCGATAGCTATGGCGGGGCGTGGCCTGTTAACACATAAGCGGAAAGCTAAAGTATCATTGGGACGGAAAAATGATAGAAGTGACTTCCATTCAGCACCAACGTTACCAGTTAAATTCTCGAATACTGTTTTAACTTCTTTCGAGGCTGGTACAAGTGCTAAAAAGGCACAGATTGTGTACAAATAAAGGCTATTTGTACCACGTCACAAAGTGGCAGACACTATGTTTTTAACTTAACGAGATCGAGACGCATTCATAATACAAGGTAAGGTAAGACTAAAGCGTAAAAAATAGTCCTCAACCTAGTCGTTTTTTCGACAAACACCAGCTATTATTATCTAGCTGTTACGTAGAACTGCATGGCACTTCCTCAAAGTATAAGGCATCCAAAGAGCACGTATATAATGCGGCTTGATGAGCCTCCCATCTCACACAACGGTGACGGAATTGTTCCGATCAATCTGACCGATTTAGATGGCAGTAGCAATTATAACAGTAGCAATAGCAGTAGCTTAGCAGAGTGTGTCTCCTGGCCACAGTGTGTATTAATACGTGGTAAAATACTTCGATATGGTGAAAGGGATTGTCGACTTGGCTGTCCACTGTTAAACCGGCCGGGCGAACTCGTCACCGATACTAGACCAGCTAGCTTCGGAAGTCGGTGTGCCCAAGGAGTAGATTTTATAGACGTCGTGCGTGTTAGTTATTTACCCTGATCCTCCGTTGGGCCTCTTGTCCCCGCTTAAGAGAAGTCAACAAAAATCCGACGTAGGCGTGGTAAGCAATAAGCTAACTAATCGCAGGACTTGATGCTGTAGGAAGGTAATGCGTCGATGGGCGAATGGAAAAAGCTCAGAGGTCAGATGTGGCTAGCGTTTTGTCTTTTTGCTGACGTGGACCAATGAACCATCTAGAGCTGAAATAAGCAGCAAGTTCGGGAAGCTCCAATAGCCTCAACTGCGGTATCGATAGAATCTGAGCAACTTACGTGCTTTCAACATAATAGATAAGTTCAGAACGAACTGGACCATATCAATGGCTTACCTGGTCGGCGAAGGGGGAACTTTTTGAGAAAAAAAATTAGGGCAACCGTGATCGTAGGAGAATCGCGGTAACCGGGTCATGAATTCAAAATTCCTGTTTCAGGTGTAAGGTCTCTGTTCAAAAAATTTACCTCTACTATTTGACAGAAGAGCAAAGGGAATGGAAGGAGACGGAAGAAAGTAGGGGTAGTCATGGTTTATGAAGTCGCTTTCATGCTGAGTCAATCTGCCGTCCCCCCACACAATAATGGAATGTCACGAAGCCAAGTAAGCATGCTGAGCCTAAATGGACCAAAAAAAAAGAGTTCCAAGCATTCCGTGACAATAAAAGCGGGCTCTTCATTTAAAGAGCTGTATGATAGGCAGCAATGTGCATCGCCTCTTCACGGGAATTACAAGGCTCTTGTTTCTGGTGAGTGACTAGGGATGCAAGCAAAGTTAATGACGCTGGCTGATAAGGGACAGGTCATTTAAAGTATTTCGTGAGATTATTAAAAGCAAGCTAATCTTGATATATATATATATATATATATGCTTATTATTAGCTAAACCCACAAGTCGGTTCAAATGATTTACGTATCTTTGACGAAGCACAGTTTTGCATCTGAGAATACCTATCGAATCTGACTAGTTCGATTTAATACGCTAAAAATGCCATTGATTTTTTGTAGCGAAAGCTATGGAAGTGCCTCAATGATTCCCCGTTGTTAATACCTTAGAAGTTTTTACGAATTTCACGATTTGTTGCTAGTTTTAAATAGACCGTATTACTACTGTATGGTTCATAGCTGCCATCGTGTCATTTATGAGGCTTATTACACCGTTGACCTGCGCCAATTTTCCCCGCCAAACATTGTCTGCCTTATTTTGCACGTTCTTTCCAACACAACTCTAAAGCTAGAAAGTTTGGACGCTACCGGATAAACATGACCTCGTTGTGTCTACACGACCTCCCCTATACTTAGAGCCTTTTCCTTAGAAAAAAAATACCAGGAAAGAGCTTTGGGTTTTTTATTTATACATTGGTTTGTCGACAGTTTTGCACCGGACTTGAAGCAAGTATTCTCATTTATTTGAACGTAATACTACCAAACGGAATTTTGATCGATATCCTTCTAGCTTATTCCTAGCAATATCATAATTTTCGACTTTGTCACCAGCGGCTTTTACCTACCGCCTCTATTGAAAGTGAATTAATTAATTAAGAGGGAGTTCTGCAGGGACTGAAGCAGATGATAGTCTTTTATTGCAATATCCGGGTTGTATGGCGTATGCATAAATTTCCCATCTTAGTCCTCTCAATTTTTGCCAGTTAGTTAAAAATGGAGGTGGCAGCAACAGCAGTTCGTAATAAACTATATCTTTCCAATCCCACTAAACACGTAGCATAATCTCCAGTTGCCGTCAATGCGGACTTTATCACAAATCATGGATCTTTGCCCCGCTCTCGCCCCCCCCCCCCCTTGCACATTAGTAGCTTATGTAATCGACCTTCCATTACCTGCTATGAACCGTTTGAAAAATAAATTGATTTTGTTGCGTAGCTGCGTATTTTGAGCTTCGTAGATGAAAATACGATGCGTAAGTTCTTTTTCTTCATGTTAAATTTAAATTAAAACTAAATTAAGTTTCGAGCTTCTTAGTATAGCCAGCTTTGTTCTAATAATTTAGAACTATTTGGTGACCATATGTTGCCATAATCGATTTTTACAATATTTTCATTATTTTATTATATTTCTTTATAACTGGCCGATCACTACAAGGGGTATATTTTACATGGAAGTTTCCAAAACGAAAGCAATAGAACCACTTTCGGGCCGTATCCTCCGACTGACCACCAATAGCACTGTGGACCCAAGCGACAATTGTTTGTCCGTAATAAAATGTGGCAGAAATTTTACTAAGATTTAAAATGTTTTATTTTATGTCTTCATAAAGGCATCCTCTACTGCTATTAGCTCTTAACTGGATTATGTGTGTGCGCTGAGATATATGACTTTAAAGCTACCTAGCTCAAAAACAATCAGTACTTTCGGCCAACCCAATAAAGTGTGGCATATAAATTGACACAGATATGGTCTGATTATTTATCGTAATGGCATGCGTTCATTCGCCATTGCTGACCCGAACAGATTCGTCATAGTAGAAGATGATGCGCCGCTTTTACTGAACTGAGCTCCAGTCCCCTCGCCCATAAAAAATAAGAAAATATTTTTACATAAACTCGACAATGTACGTTACCACCAATTTTCCTATGGCTTTTCAACATTCGAGGAACATTTCTATGGATCAAAATGCCCTCTTGGATAAAGCTGGACTTTGGCACAAAAATGACACAAGAAGATATCCACTGTCTCTAAGATCGTTCAGATAAGCTCTAACGGTTAATCTTTGCGAGATTTTTGGCGCGCTTTTGCACCATCTGGAGCTCTTGTCCGTTTCGAATCCCTGCATTTGTGGGATTTCCGGCAGCCTAAAATTTGTTCCGTTGAAATTTTTGTATACTGCGTATCTAACCGAAATTTTACCGAGTTTAGATCTGCCAATAACGCTTAACGGACAGTTGCTATTGAACTACTATTTGCCAACTGAAGAAACCTTCCTTTGAAAACGATTAGTTAATAGTTTAGGTTCCGAACAGAAGCTGTAATTGAGAGGATTAGTCCTTGCGTTGTCCACTAGATATAGTACTTTTAGCGCGTGTAAAATTTTATACTCTTCATATATATATATATATGTATATATATATGTGGAACCAAAGAACAACGGCAAGGTGCAACTTGATGGCAACATTGTAGAGTAAACGAAATCATACGCGGCTTGGTGGAAGCTGTTTAATGCGGAATGAACGAAGCGAGGAGCCTTGAATTTAACAGTAGGAAACTGAAAAAGTGGATCAAGGACATAGAGCATGAGATAACCAGGAATGAATGGCCTAACGGCCAAGTAGTGCGGTGAGTCAGGGAATAACTCAGGGCCTGGTGCGTTACAATCAAGAAGCTATAAAGACCAGCACGTGACAGGATTTGCTAAGAACCGGGAGAAAACTTGCATCTCGTACGGGCCAAGCGAGCATTGATGAAATTGGAATGAAGCTCGATTCTGAAGTGTTTCGGCAGACTTACGTCGGGCGCTCAAGTCGGTCCCTTTGTTAATGTTACTGCAGTAGCGCAAGTTTAGCGCACTCTAGCTGCTCAAGCGATCAGGTGCCAATGCCAAAAAAATAGCATCTGTTCGGATGAAGACAATAACAACCATCAGTAGGAATTCAATCCTATTGCCTCGCATCCGTTATCATCTAGCAGCTAACCTCTTAACTCAAGTACTATTCTGCTCATTATCAGTCGTGTTTCCGGTTCCTATATGGTAACGAAGATAAGCTTTCAGACAGAAAATCCATGAAACAAGGCCGTCTGTAGAGAGGTACAATGATGAGTCGGAGGAATTGACAAACAAACAAGAGACGAAATCTAGAGGTCATACAAACAAGTTACCAACATGCGTGTACCAGGACTGACCCTAGACGATCGAACAGTGCTATACGACAAGTCGAGTGCCTCCCCGGGTGACAGCCATAAGAATAATATGAGACCGTGGGGGACCGCCAAAGAACGTCGATCCGTAGACGTTCATTGCTCATAAAGTCAATAGAGTTAAAGATGACATACCATACCATCCAGAAAGGGGGAAGGGGCACTGAATGTTTGCTTATCTCGCGGAACACACGATTGAGGTACTTCTGCAGCGGCTTTGATTACGATAAGGGCCTGATAAGACAAAAGTAGGAAAAAAAGAGAATTTGAAGAAAACATGGAGGTCAGTGATATGTATGTCATTCACGATTAAGGGCACAAACTATGGTTTTGTCCTCAAAATTAGTAATTTCCAATTAACGCTGATACCGGCGGTTATAGTGGATGGACACCGAGATGTCGCAGATTCCAGGATGACTCGGACGTTACTTAGAGTAAACCTGCTGAAAAGACTTCGACATGGTATAAAAGGCTATTCGTTGTAACAAAAATTTTGCCTGTTGCCCGAACCCCTCTTCCAACCTCGCATATCTCCCCAAAATAAAATAATGACAAAGTGAGCAGTAGCCGGGCGGTGATGGAAAAAGGGGTGGATGAGCAGTTGAAACAGTCGAAAAAGTTGGGATGCTCGCAAATGAGGCGGAAAAATGTGCGTGGACGGAGCTTCGCCTGTCACCGCTATGAACGCTATGCTTATCTGACCCTCTTATTTTGTACCGACTTGTTCTTTTACCCTTAATCTCGTAACCTTGGCCCGATC